CCGTCTCAAAAAAAAAAAAAAAAAAGAAAAAGAAATAAAAGAAAAAAGAATAGGAGGCCCACTGAGGCCATTGTTTGCCAATCCCTGTTCAGGAATTATCTGTTTGTTCTTGGGGTAGCAGGCTTTCTACATCAAGATAAGCATCCCAAAAGTCATTTACAAAATACTTTTTTTTCCCTTAGAGATGGGGTCTTGCTTTGCTGTCCAGGCTATAGTTCAGTGGCATGATCATATCTCATGGCATCCTTGACCTCCTGGACTCAACCAATCCTCCCACCTCAACCTTCCAACTTGCTGGGACTACAGGTGTAGGCCACCATGCCAGGCTAATTTTTTTTTTCTTTTTCTTTTCTTTTTTTTTTTGATACGGAGTCTAGCTCTGTTGCCCAGGCTGGAGTGAAATGGCATTATCTCAGCTCACTGCAACCTCTGCCTCCCGGGTTCAACAGATTCTCCTGCCTCAGCCTCCTGAGTAGATGGGATTATAGGCACATGCCACCACGCCCGGCTAATTTTTTTTTTTTTTTTAATCAATGAGTTTCTTATTTTGCCCAGGTTGGCCTTGAATGCACAGCCTCTCCTCCTCAAGCGCCAGGACAACTGGCCAGAGCCACCGCGGCTCCCGTGTATTGTTTTTTTGTTTTTTTTTTTAAGGTAGAGTGGGTCGGGGTTTCACCATGTTGATCAGGCTGGTCTGAACTCCTGACCTTGTGATCCACCGGTTTCGGCCTCCCAAAGTGCTGGCATTACAGGCGTGAGCCACCGCACCGGCCTGCCTGCTTAATTTTTTAGTAGAGATGGGGTCTCACTATTTTACCCAGGCTGCTCTCAAGCTCTAGGATTCAGGTAATCCTCAGCCTCCCAGAGTGCTAGGGTTACAGGTGCAAGCCACCTTGCCTGGCCAACATATGTGACTTTTTGTTTTTTGAGATAGTCCTGCTGTATTGCTCAGGCTGAAGTGCAGTGGCGGGATCTAGGCTCCCTGCAACCTCCAACCTCTGCATCCCCGGTTCAAGCGTTTCTCCTGTCTCAGCCTACCGAGTAGCTGGGATTACAGGCACGCGCCACCACACGCAGCTAATTTTTGTTTTTTAGTAAAGACGGTTTCACCATGTTGCCCAGGCTGGTCTCAAACTCCTCAGCTCAGCATTCTGCCCGCCTGGGTCACCCAAAGTGCTGGGATTACAGGCGTGAGCCACAGCTGTGGCTTCATTAATGCGGCACTCAACGCCTTTTGTTGCTGGCTCAACATCCCTTTCAGGCCTTCACTGACTTATGCCACAAGGTACTGTGCCCGGGATAAAGAGCCAAACCAGCTTCTGCTCGCCCCAGTCCTCTTGCCAGAAAGGCCCTCTGGCCTTTGTCCAGTTGCTGGACGCTACCTCTTCTTTCTGGTCTCCTCCTCCTCGAGGCATTCCCAGACGTCCCAGTGGAACCACACGGTCCGTGCCCCTTCCACTTACTTCCTCAGAGCTCACATTCCACAACTACTAAATCGGCACGGATAGACTCATAAGCAGCTCCTTCCTTGTCCTTTTTTTCCTCCTGAGCTGGGGAACGTCTGCCAGGGGTGAGAGGCACTCGCAGACTGCCCAGGCGGGGTGGCCGCCCTCACCTGGCCAGGCGTTCGGGCACTGGCTCAGGCGGCTGACAGCGAAGTCAGCTGAGGCGAGGAGGATTCTTGGGCTGCGGGAAAGATCGCAGGCAGGGGAGGCCCTGCCCGGAAGGCGGGATCTGGGGACTAACCCCACACGAGTCGCGGAAGCCCCAGCCCGGGCGCCCGCGACGGAACCGACGCCGCGACTCCTGGCCTCTTGGCCAGAACCCGCAGCCGTGTTGCGAGCCGCCCAGGTCACGGCCACCCCACGGCCTGAGCGCCCCGGCCCCCCTCGACCCCGCAGTAGCTTGGGGAGCCCAGGTCATGACGCCCAACCGCCAAAGCGGACACCAATGCCTCAGCTGCGCAGCGCGCGCCCTTCGAGGGCCCCCCATCCACCCTCGTGCGCAAGCGTGGTCCTCCGGAGACTACATCTCCCAGAAGTCGCCGCGTCGCGGCGCTCCACCGCTTCCGCCCGCAGGTTGCGTTAGCCGTGGCGATGGCACCCTCTAGCGGCAGCAGGAAGGTTGTGGTGGTCCTGAGAGTTGCGGTGGGCTGGTGTTCTGGGGTCACACACAGCACCCGCCTTGAGGGGACCGGAGCGTGAGAGGGAAAAATGCCCGTGATGCGAAGGCTTGGGCAGTAGACAGTCAAAATCCTGAAACCCCGCGGTGCTCCCTGCGATTCACTTTGCAGAGGTGCCTCAAGGCCCCGATGCCGGCTTGGAAGTAGAGGGGGGTGACTGTCTTGAGACTGAAGCTCACTTTCGGATCCTGGACGTTCTTGTCAGGATTTTTATTAATACAGTGGCTTAGTGATAGTTTGTTGAGAAACTCCCTGAGGAGGGCAGAGCGCAGTGGCTCACGCCTGTAATCCCAACGCTTTGAGAGGCCAGGCCGGCGGATCACTTGAGGTCAGGAGCTCAAAACCAGCCTGGCCAACATGGGAAAACCCCTTTTCCACTAAAAATACAAAAATTAGTCGGGCATGATGGCGGGCGCCTGTAATCCCAGCTACTCGGGAGGCTGAGGCAGGAGAATTGCTTGAACCTGGGAGGCAGAG